TCACCCTCACTTAGTTAGTGTTTAAATGATTAATCTATGGTCCTAATTATCTTTCTCCTTTTTTTCCTCTAATTAAGTCATATCACATCAATTGTTTTAGCCTTTAGATGATTAATCTACGGTCCAAACTATCTCCCTACCTTTCTTTTTCCATAAAGTTATATCACCTTACTTTTTACGTTTGAATCACCATTCTACATACTCCCTCCTTTCCTAAATGTTTAACGCCGTTGACTTTTTTAAATATGTTTGACCGTTCGTCTTATTCAAAAACTTTTGTGAAATATGTAAAACTATATGTATACATAAAATTATATTTAACAATAAATCAAATGATAGGAAAAAAATTAATAATTACTTAAATTTTTTGAATAAGACGAACGGTCAAACATATTTAAAAAAGTCAACGGCGTCAAACATTTAGAGATGGAGGGAGTTCTATTTAAATTTAAATTATCATAAACCATATTAATTTACTTAATCTGATGTTATCTAGCTATCTTACACATTATTTTTTTTATTGTTATCATACTAACTTCCCGCAGCAATGCGCGGGGTTTCACCTAGTATAATAGTAGTGTAGTTACAATATATATAACTTGTATTTAACTCTTATGTATCTGTTATCGAAAGACAACTGTGTCACGTAAAAGATGTGGTTCACTCAGTGAGTTGATGGAATAGTAAAAGCAATATATTAATTGGTAAAATTTTTTTGGATCCCTCATTATATGGCCCTAAGAGGCTATTTATAGTGTTCGTACAGGCTCATACCCTTATGATAGAGACATTAGTGTGGGTACACAATGTTTTTTGTATTTATGGGCCATCAGGTGAACTCTTTGGGCTGGCCCATTAATGGCGAAAGGCCCCCATGGGCCACAGGGCTTCCCAAGACTATAGCTGAAGGCCCCTTCTATTCGGGCGAAGGCCTCTTGCTTCATCTTATGGCCTTCGCCCTTAGTGGTGACTTGGCCGAGTGGTGAGCTTGGGGGCAAACCCTTCGGTTTTCGTCGTTCGGCTTCGCCCAAAACACTTCGCCCTATGGCTTCGCCACAGGGTTGTGAGCTTGGGGACAAACCCTTCGGTCTTCATTGCCGGCTTCGCCCAGGCGCTTCGCCCCGGGCGCACCCCTTGGACTCAGTCGATGCCCAATGGATTCGGTGGTTTCGGCAGGTCCGGTCGAAAGCCCTCATGACATGCCTCCAACAGTAACCAACAAGAAAATCAGTGTGGGTGGATGGCTGGTGTGGCACACCAGTACTCTACGCATGGAGAGAGTTCCTCGGATGTAACTTTTTCAACTCTAATGTGGTCACTAACATCGCAATTGCACTACTGGAGAAACCCAAATTGGTGTCGGTTGGGAATCGGTCATACGTGCCGGTTATGTTATTATAACCGATACCTTCAGCTAGAATTGGTGCCGGTTACGTTATTATAACTGTTATCTTCAGCTGGAATAGGTGTCGGTTATTACCTTATAACAGGCACCTATTTTAACTTATAGGCTCTAGTTATATTGTTATAACGGGCAATTGTCGGAATATAAGAACTTTTAGGATTTGACATGTGTATTAAAAAGTAGTTAGGATTAAATAAGCAAAGGTTGTGAATGGTTGAGAAGTGGAGATAGGTAAGAAAATTAAATGGTGGAGTAAAGGGTTGTTTGCACAACCTTAAACTCTATATATAAGTATCCGCCGTCACCTTTAGGGTTTGGGTTTTGCTTAGATTATTCTGTTAAGAACAGTTTCGCCGTTAGATCGATTTGTAAGACCCCATCTATGAGCTTAATCATTCATCTGCAATTTGATTGTATTCTTCCTTGTTCTTGTTTGTGTTCTTCGAATCGTAAAACAGAGATTAGCCTTCTCGGTGAGGTCAACCACGTTTCGACACGGTTAATAACTAGAGGAGACGTGGTGTTGCGGTTCCGGGGGTTAAGAGTGTATTCGTTCAACAGTCGGATCGATTTGTGTCGCGACTCCACCCAATCGACTATCTATCAGAACCTTTCGGAAGATCGGGAACCCTAGTCCACATCACATATGTTCATGAAAATAGCCATCGCCATAGCTTTTGTGACGGCCCAAATCGTCATGACCAGTTAATGTCGTGCCACCGTGTGGATAATGTGATGACATGGATCATACGTGGTTGACCATTGTGATGTGGCTGGTGCTGCCTTTTCGATGATGTGGAACCTACGTGGCAGAACATTGTGACATGGCATGGATTGAATTGGAGGCGTATTTTACAGCCCATTTCGAAGATTTGGGTCATCAAGAAATACTAGAGTCCCATTTTAGGCCCAAGACGTATTGGGCCAAGTGCAACTCGGTTTCTTCAGTAGACAATCTGTTGAGGGAGCTCCTCTTATGCGCGTACGCGCCAGGAATAGTGCGCGGTGCGCGTTTTGACAGTCCTAAGAGCGCTAAGAGCTGTTAGCGCTAACTTTTTTTTCGGATAAAAAATCGTCACGCGTCTTTCTTCCTATTTTTAAGTTGACTGAAACAAACTTTTAATTCCAGATTTGAACTCAGATTTAAAAATTTCAAGTCACGATTTGAATACTTTCAACTTAGATTTAAAAAAATTTCATGAAAGTTTTAAAATTTTCATAAATTTTTTTTAAATTTGAGTTGAAAGTTTTAAATCTTCATGAAAGTTTTCAAATCCAAGTTGAAAGTTTTCAAGTCTAAATTGAAAGTTTTCAAATCAGAGTTGAAAGTTTTAAAATCTGAATTGAAAGTTTTCAAATCCAAGTTGAAAGTTTTCAAGTATGAATTGAGAGTTTTTAAATCCGAGTTGAAAGTTTTTAAGTTTGAATTGAAAGTTTTCAAATCTGAGTTGAATGTTTTTAAAATCTCGACTTGAAAGTTTTCAAATCTGAGTTAAAATTTCAAAAAAATCTTGATTTGAAAGTTTTAAATATTGACATCTACTTGCGAAAAAAGGGAAAGCGAAAAAAATTGCGAAAAAAAACGAAAGAAAAAAAAATCGGGCGGGGAGGACGATTAGCGCTTCTCGAATTACTGTAGCGCATGATTAACTCTAATCATCGTAATTAACGCTAATCGCCGTGATTAGTAATGGGATCAGCGCGACGGATTCGCTTGGCAGTCAACACGTGGCAGTGCGCGCGAGTTACTGTATCGGCGCGTACGCGCGAATTAGCATTCGCGATCTGTTGAATCATTCCATTAACGAACGACAAAGTCACTGGATAAACGAGCACCTGATGTTCATCTTGTCTGGAATTAATATCATCGTACAATGTATGATAAATTACATTTGTTATTACCAGATTATCCGGTGGTTGCTAAATTATTAGAATCCTTCAAGATAGCTGGAAATAGCGCTCCCTCCTGCATTTGGCACTGGCATGGATAGCGCCCGGAATCGACACGTCACACGCTGGGAGGGATTTGGCGAGCGGCCCTGCCTCCGTGTGGATCGCATTTGTTAGAAAAGTCCTTGGTTTAGTTGCTTATTTGTTAGAGATCCCTGGTCTTCACTTTGTATTTAAGCGTTCTTACGAAGAGGTCCTCGGAAAACTGTAAAATTCTACACTAAGAAGCAGAAAACCAGGAAAAAGGATTGCGCTGTAAAAAATAGAAAACGAGGGGATTTTTTTGAAAAACGGCGCAATCTAATCCTTCCCCAATCTCTGGAGTCTGGACGCCACTATCCTTCCCCAATTTCTCGCCTCTCGCGGCCCTGTCAAAAAAAAAAAAATAAATCGCCTCTTTGTTTTCCTCCCGTCGCTATCCTCCCTTGCTCTCGCCGCTGCGCCTGGCAGTGAGGAGGACGGGACCAGTGGATGCAGCGGCCCCGGCCTTGCGCCTCGCTTCGCCGTCATCGTCTCTGCGGCGTGCTCCTACCATCGCCATCCTCCTCTTGCTCCCGCCGCGGCGCCCACCAAGCACTCAGGCAGGATGGGATACCGTCTGCCACCTGCTGCCTGGCGCCGCCCTCCTTTCCGTTTTCCTCTGCATCCTCTTCCTCCGTGTGCGGCAACAGCGGCGGGCGTCCACGGCGACGCCGTCGACGAGGCGGGGAAACGCTAGGCACGGCCTTCTCTTGCCTTCTTGCCTTGGTGAACTTGGTCTATGGGTATAGCGTGCCTGACTTGTGGCCCTCCTGCTTGCTTTTTCTTTTCTACCCACCATACAATAGGTTTATGTTTTGATGGATGGTTTTAATGTCAGTTTTTTTTTGTCTTCTTTGGTGTGTCTCTGTTATGTGGGTCTATGCATCCTCTCTATTGTTTAATATCGTGTGATTTGTTCATCGGTGCTAGCCGTCTCCTTCTCGGCGTGGAAGACCGCGCCAACCGTGGGAGGCAGCTTGCCAGGGCGCTGCTCGCTCAGTGGATGTGCGCTTAGTGGGTGCGGTGCAATGTGATTCGTTTATTTCTCTGCCCTATGTCACAGCGCTGTGGGTGCTCATCGTCCATGCACCCTCTGTCTCTGCACTGTGGTCCAGCCCTGTTTGTTTCGTGTGATTGGATCACGGGTGTTGGTCCATCCAGATTATATGTGCCATTTGGTTTCACTGGATTCTTTTGGTTGGATGGCATCTCTTTGTTTCACTGCAGGGTGGGATCATCTTTTATGGGGGCCACTACGCCGATTTCTTATTGGTGGGTTTACATTGTACTACGTGAAAATTGTTTTCCTCTTTCGATGCAACCTATGGTTGAGGCTTCTTTTTTTCTTATAACGCCACAACGATACTTCTCCCTCTTTGCCTTTTTCGCTTTGCCATCGTCGCTTTCCCCGCCTACTCATCTGTTGTTTCCCGCCATCGTTTTGCCTGCTTTCCCTTCGATTTCATTCATCGATCATGGCTGGGTAAGATATCTGGTGATGATATTATCTTTTATTATGTGGGTCTTTTTCTTCTTCTTTACATCTAGCTGATTCCTCATTTTATTTACCCGTGTGTTTTTGCTTGCATTGTTTTTAGGGGGGAAGATCTGCACGGGCTGCACCGCTGCTTCAAAGGATCGTGATCGTTTTTCTTTATCAGTTCAAGAGCTGTCAGTGTAACTTGGCAGGTTTGTTTTCTTCTCTTTTCGCAATTGTAGCTCTCATTGATCCTTACAATTTATTTTTTTCATTATACTAACTGAATCATCGCTATTTTGTAGCTCTCATTCGCGTGCGTGGTACCTCTCTGCTTTTCTTCTTCGCTTCCAGCCTTCCACATCACTGCTCATCTCGCTATTGTTGGTCCATCTTTGTTGTTGGTTCATCGTGCATCTTTCATCGAAGGTATTTACTTCCTTGCTATTTTTTTGTTTATTTTGCTCATTTCTTTGTTGTGCTATACTTATTTTCACCCATTGCGTGTCATGCGAGTGATCGCTTCGCATTATATGTGTCTGATGATGCTTTATTATCTTGCTTATTTGCTCCTATCAATTTCTGCATATGTGTGAGCTAAAGCGATTCCATGCTTTATATGGCCTTCTTTTTTACATCAATATATTTTTGTGCTCTATGATAGCTTCGTTGCTACTGTGTTTTTTTTTGTGTGTAGCTGATTGTTTCCTTTATAAATGCACTGTCTTTTTTTATGCTTTTCAGTGGCCTTGTGATTGTAGAGATTAGACCTATTAATTTTTATAACGGTCTATTTGTTCACTTCCGCTTGTCATTTCATTGCTCACTGTCCATGCCTTCTATCTAAACTATCTTTTTTCGTTGATATTTTCTTTCTATGGTATGTATACCCAAAATATTCGCTACAGATGTCAGAGGAGGCTCTCAGTAGGGTTCGTGCTAGCCGAGAAAGACGAGCTGCGAATATTTTGACCCGTCAGCTTGTAATGCATATACAACATTCAGTACTAGGACCGATTCAGCCTAGGCAAGTAGACGAGCGCAAAAGAAAATGTTCACTTATGGATTTCACACCTCAGTTGGCTAAGCTGAATAGGCAAAGGCGTTGTTTGCTACGCTCAAAGATGGAGCCTGTACCTCCTGTGCACGCTGAAAATGGTACCCAATTAATCTTTTCACGTATTGATTGTGTTTCATGACGCACAATTTTTCATAAGATGTTACTGTCAAATCTGTTCATTGCAGCTGCCGGTGTAAAAACCAATGGTAGTTCATCACGCACGAATAAGGAGTACATCCAGTCATTAAAGGGTTCGCGACCTATGCTAAATACAAAACATACTGCTATTTATTATAAAACCAGCTTTTAACAGTCCTAAGTATTTTGCTACAGCCTCATACCCAGGGAGATCGTACTATGGTCCACCAACATATGAGTGTCCGTACTGTGGCGCTGTCTTCTGGTACCAGGAGAGAGTGAAAAGCACCTCTGCTGTTTCACAGCGAAGAATAGTTTATAACCTCTGCTGCAAGGGCGGTAAAATACAATTGCCTAAGCTGCGCTCGCCTCCTGAACCACTTGCGACATTATTAAACTTTAATGGTGATGCACGATCCAAGAGATTCTTAAGGCAAATACAATCATACAATTCGATGTTCGCTTTCACTTCACTGGGTGCAACCATTGATAGATTGATTAATACTGGCAATGCACCTTATGTGTTCAAGATTAATGGTGTTGTGCACCACAGAATTGGCAGTCTTTTGCCATCAAGTGGGTCACCTCCAAAATTTGCTCAACTATACATCTATGATCCACAAAATGAGACACAAAATCGATTAAATATTTTTGGAAATGACAGTGATGATGCAGATAAACCAGACCCTGAAATTGTTAGTGCATTGTCATCCATGCTTGATAGGCACAATAGTCTTGTCCAGACATTCAGATACGCTAGAGAGCGACTTTCTCAGCATGGTGACCAAAAGATAACTCTTCGCCTTCTAGGCTGCAATGCTAAAGATGACGTGCAATATAATTTACCGACGAGTGGTGAAATTGCTGCCATAATAGTAGGCGATTTCTGTGCAAAAGAGTACAAGTTTGATCTTCTTGTGTATGATAATGATCGTGGTTTACATCAAGTTTCTTCATTGCATCCATCATATATGGCTTTGCAATATCCTTTATTATTTCCATATGGTGAACGTGGATTTCATCTAGGCATTCATTACAACAATTATGATGGGATTGGAAGAAAGTATGTTACAATGCTTGAATTCTTTAGATACGAAATGCACTATAGACTAAATGAACCAAATCCTTTCACATGCTATGGCCGACTAAGCGATCAGAGTGTTGTTGATGCCTATTCTTCGATAGAAGCTAATAGATTACAATTTATAATTGATCATCAAAACGAGTTGCGTGCTGAATCTTTAGATGGAATCGTAGATGCAATCGATAAAGGTGTCACTGATGGCGATTCAGTTGGTAAGCGCGTTATACTTCCTGCCAGCTTCACTGGAGGAAGGCGATATATGGTAATGAACTACCAAGATGCAATGGCAATATGCCGTGTCTATGGCTCGCCTGATCTATTTGTCACATACACAAGCAATTCTAAGTGGCAAGAAATTTATGATGCAATACGATTTGAGCCTGGACAACAGCCATCAGATAGACCTGATATGATAGTTAGGGTGTTTAACATGAAGGTCAGTGACTTTATAACTGACATTAGAGAAGGAAGGACTTTCGGTAAAGTTCTTGCAGGTATTGTTGACTCCTATTTTTGCATGCAGTTCTATTTAAATATGATTCTCATTACTTCTCTTAAACTATTCCAGTGCTGTACAATGTTGAATTCCAAAAGCGTGGGCTGCCACACATACACTGTTTGGTCTGGCTTGCAGCGCCCACTGCTGAAATATCGACATCCATCATCGATGGATTCATTTGTGCTGAAATACCTGACTACGACACTGATCGGTTAGGATATGAATTAGTTAGTGAATTTATGATGCATGGCCCCTGTGGAAATGCAAACAAAAATTGCCCTTGCATGAAAGATAATAAATGCTCGAAAAATTATCCTAAGGATTTTCAAGATCAAACAATAATTGATGAATCTGGTTTTACGATATATAGACGATGAAACGATGGCCGACATATTATCAAAAATGGAATTCCATTGGATAACAGATCTGTTGTTCCATATAACATGAAATTGCTTAAAACATACGAGGCACATATAAATGTTGAGTGGTGTAACAAATCAAACTTGATAAAATACCTATTTAAATACATCATAAAAGGACAAGATCGTGCTAGGATATATTTCGAGACAACTGCTAAAACAGGAAATGTGTCGCCAAATCATGACTTAGCTCCACGCAATGAAATATTGGAATATATGGATGCTAGATTCCTCTCCACATGTGAAGCACTACATCGATCATTTGAATTTGACATACATTACAGAATACCTCCTGTCGAACGGTTAGTTGTCCATTTGCCTGAAAAAAACTATGTTAGATACGAAAAAGGCTCTGATTTACGAGCAGTGCTTAATAGTCCTGCTGCGAAGCGTTCAATGCTAACTGAATGGTTTGAAGCTAATAAAAAACATCTGAAAGCACGTTCGCTGACATACTGTGAATTTCCAAGAGAATGGTCATGGGAGCCTTCATCTAGAACATGGCGTGAACGAACACCTGCTCCTAAAATTGGTAGAATTTATTATGTGCATCCAACTGCTGGTGAACTCTATTACCTACGAATGTTACTAATGATAGTTAGAGGTGCACAAAGTTATGCTGATGTGCGCACACATAATGACATTGTTTATGCCACATATAGAGAGGCATGCGAGGCAAGAGGACTTCTTGAAGGAGATAGTGAATGGTACCTTCTTTTCGATGAAGCAATTCTATTTGCGTCTTCGCATCAACTTAGACAACTTTTTGTTACTGTTGTTCTTTATTGCTCTGTTACTAATGTGCGTTCATTGTTTGATAAATATTGGCTCTACATGACAGACGATATTCATAATAAAGTAAAAAAGACATTGGATAATCCACGCTGCATTGTCCCACAGGAACACTTACTCAACCTACTCTTATCCGAGCTTGCTGTCGTGTTTGGGAACAGTGGTGGTTGCATAAAAGATTTTAACTTGCCACAGCCATCTCCACTTCACACAGCTATATTGGAAATAGACTAATCGATGAAGAGCTTACATTCACTCATCTTTTGATGTCTTTGCATGCAAATTCTTTAATAGCACAGTTAAATGCTGACCAGAAACAAATTTTTGATACGATAATTTCTCGAGTAGTTGCAGATCAGCCTGGGTTTTTTTTTTGTGTCTGGCCATGGTAGAATTGGTAAGACCTTTCTTTGGAATGCTATTATTGCAAAGCTCAGATCAGAAAATAAAATTGTGCTCGCTGTTGCTTCATCAGGAGTAGCATCTTTGTTATTACCAAGAGGTAGAACGGCTCACTCTCGATTCAAAATACCAATCGACATTGATGAAAACAGTATTTGCAATGTAAAACGAGGAACTATGCTATCTGAACTTTTGCTAGAGACTGCACTAATTAGGAGATGAGGCTCCAATGACACATAGGCGTTGTTTTGAGGCACTAGATCGTACATTACGTGATATCCTTTCTGAGACAAGTCCTCCCAACTCTATTATACCTTTTGGAGGAAAACCTGTTGTTCTAGGTGGTGATTTCAGACAAATATTACCTGTTGTTCCTAAAGGTTCACGTCATGCTGTTATTAATGCATCAATCACAAACTCTGACCTATGGAAAAATGTTTCGATTTTAACTCTGAACATAAATATGAGATTACTTAATCCAGATCTGCCAGTACACAAAAGAAATGAATTGCGTGATTTTAGTGAATGGATTTTAGCCGTTGGTAATGGTACTGTGCCTATGATTGCAAAAGAAGGTGAAGCTTATCCTTCGTGGTTAACTATTCCTGATGATTTGCTTTTTAAAACTGATCATGACAAGATAGATGCTATTGTTAGAGAAATATATCCTAATTTCCTTGCATCATACAAAAATCCTGAATATCTAGCTTCTCGAGCCATTCTATGTCCTAACAATGCAACGGTTGATGAAATAAATGACTATGTTATTAGCTTGCTACCAGCAGATGGAAGAACTTATTTAAGCTGCGATACCATATCAAAGTGCTCTGAACAAATTCCAGACTTTGACCTGCTGTACCCCCCCGAATTCCTCAACTCAATAAATGCTGCTAATTTTCCTACACATAAACTTGTGCTGAAAGAGGGAGTTGTCATCATGCTGTTGCGAAACCCCAACCAATCAATAGGTCTCTGCAATGGAACAAGGCTGTTAATTTCTACTTTAGGCGAGAGAATTTTGCAGTGCATAGTATTGATTGGATTGAACATTGGTGAAACTGTTTATATACCCAGAATCACACTCAGTACAACAAAACTTAAATGGCCTTTTACATTACAGAGAAGACAATTCCCTGTTCGAGTTTGCTATTCAATGACTATTAATAAAAGCCAAGGCCAAACACTTTAGCAAGTTGGTGTATACCTTAGAAAACCAGTTTTTACACATGGTCAACTCTACGTTGCTATATCAAGAGCAACCAGCCGATCAGGGCTGAAGATATTGATTGAGAATGATGATGGATCATGTGGGAATGAAACAAGAAATGTTGTTTACACTGAGATACTACCTGCTACGTTCACAGCGGTGCTGCTCTCAACATTGCTGCATACTGTGTTTCATTTTATTTCCTACGAAAGCTACTATAATAATGCAAATATACTCTTGTTGCAGGCTCCGCCGCTTGATACGTAGTGTTTTTTGTCAACAAGAACCCCCCTGATGCTTTTGTACATACATTTCTAAATAAATGGATGGACATAGGCACTATTGTATAGTATATATTTCCTGCAATATAAGGCTCTTATAATCTTAAGTAATGTTCTTTCTATCATCATTTTTCATCGCTATATCATTACTCCATTTTATATACTGAAATGTTTATGTTCTTTGCAGAGTACAAATGGCGCACGCGCTCATTTCACAGCTTTACCCTGGGGATTCAGACAAAAAGATTCTCGCAAGGGTTTCTAGACTTTGGCATTTTCGTGATCTGAATGATGATACAAACATCCTGCATACAGACCTTGTCTTACTTGATGAAGTGGTACTTATCAAATCACTACTCATGCCTCTTATTATTTGTGTACATTAGAATACCAAACGTATTACTAAAATAGTATATCATATTCAAAATTTGAAGGGCAATAGCACTCATGTTCAGATGTATCGAGGCGCAATTGAGGTTCTGAAACCTCTCATCCATGAAGGGAACGTCTACTACATTGAGTCGTTCACTGTCAAAGATGCAAACAGAACTTATAGACCAGTTTCAAATGACTTCATGATTTTATTCAGTAAATGGACAACCTTAGAAGAATGCATTGACATCCCAGCTGATTTCCCTGCCATAACATTTTCATTGACACCTTTCCAAGAAATCCCCTCTCTTGTTGATAAAAACATATTCTATGTTGGTATGATATATTACTATAATATTTTCATTTATGTATCTGTACATTGCCTTATAACACTTTGATCTACTCTATTTTCATGTGCAAACAGATATTATGGGCGTCATTACTGAGATCAGTTCCACATCTACTGTGCGTCCAAGGTCAAGGGATGCTGATAGTTTAAAAAGAACATTGCAGATCTGTGATGCAAGGTTAGTTATGTAAAACAGAATAATTTTCATTTAAATAAGCTTCGCATTATGTTATAAACTAATATTTACACTAATTATCATTTAAATAGCAGTTCGATGAAGTGTCCATCTTTCATTTTATATTCCAATTATAACTACACTAATTTTACTGTTAATGCAAAACACAGCAACTCAACACTGCCTGTCACACTGTGGGGAGATCGATCAACTGCAGAAAATATATAAGGATGGCCAAACTAAACCCCAGGTTGTCGTGTTTGTTGGAACACTTGTCAGAGATTATGCAGGGATAGGTAAATTTCCCTATGCATACTAAATTGCTAATTACTATATATTGCATGCAATGACTACAATCTGAATCTCTAGCTCATTGTATACAGGCTTAACAATAACTGGTAGCTCACCATGCAAATGGTATATCAATCTGGACATACCTGACGTGCTCGAATTGAAAGAAAGGTACTATTATCACCTATTTTTTTCATATATTAGGTTCATTTGCAGTGCTTTAATTCTCGCTGGCTCTAAAACATAGATTAAAAACTAGCCATTGCTTTTCTTTACAGGTTCAGTGTCAACTTTCAGCCAATCAAATGGGTTGAAAATGCTGCTCCTGCATTCAACCAAGACACTCCAGAGGAAAAAACCATTAAAGAAATTCTAAAACTAAATCCGCACAAATATAAGATCTATTCTACTCCATGATTTTTTATATGCATTTCATACTTTTGCTTTGTTTTGTATAACCGACAATTCTCTTTCTCTACAGCGAGCATGTTTTATTGTCAATGTTACTATCAAGAGCATACATGATGAAAACTGCTGGTGGTACAATTCATGTGACCGATGCTGCAGAACTTCAAAGCCATATGGTTCTACCTATAGATGCTCTAGCTGTTGTTATATAGGAATGCCAGTGCCAAGGTTAGAAAAACACCGAACACAATATTCTACACATTTATGAATTCCCAGTACAAATTGTAATGACCATATATATTGTACACATACAGATACAAAGTTGTGCTCACTGCCACAGACAATACTTCTGAAGCTGCATTTGTCCTCTTCGGACGAATTGCACATCGCCTAATACACAGACCAGTGGAGTCTCTAATCGAAGAAAATCCACCTGACTTTATCCTAGCTGAGATCCAAGCTCTTGTAGATCAAGCCTTTGTATGGAATGTCAGCTTCACTAAACACACAGTTAAACGGAATCAAGAATCCTTACAGGTCAATAGCATTGTATCATCTGGTGCCCCAAAACAGCACTTCCTGCCTATCTCATCGTCTGCTTCAGGAGGCACCTCAACTATCGTACCACTGAGCCCTGGCACTTCACTCCAAACACCACCCGCAGCAAGCGAAAGCAGTATTGAATAACAGTCATCAACCAGAGGAAAGCAAAGTGCATCTCTACAGCCAAGTCTATCAACACCAACAAAATATGTTGTTAGCCCTGCAGCAGATGACACACCAACTAGCAAGTCCAACCCCTCAGGATCCACCAAAAAGAAATATGTTGTCTTAGCATATCCTATGCAATCTCAAACAATGCAGCCTTCCATTGATGATAAGGTTAGTATTCCACCAGTTATACTGATATTCAGCCTATTTTCAGCACTACCTTACAAGCAATCTAATCTCCTACTTAATTTTGCAAGGCCACAACTGAGCCAAAGAGTGGACAGAAAACTTTGGAACATCCATCTCTTCCTGCAGCTGGACCGTCTGAATCTGAATCTGAACATAAGGTACTGTCACATCTCTTTGCTTCCATATAACATATTAGATACTAACACATTTATCTATCTTATAAGATCAAAGGAAATTTTGTCAATACACCTGATGATCCACCTATTAGCCCTTCTGTGCCTAGCAAAAGTGCAAGCAAAAAAAGGTACCTATGGACAGCTTGCCTACAGTGCATCAGTGATAGATGCTTACAATATTGCTAATTTAACTGACTGTTATAACCTAATATTACACAGGACCAACACTATAGCTTCAGTTCCAGCTCCACCTGCTAAGAAGCTATTCAAAGAACATTCCCAGCACACAAAGGATCAAAGGTAATCCTCCTATTTCTTGACAGTACCTAAGCATTTTGACAGCCATAATACAAAAGCAATATATAGCTATAGACAAGCTTTAGGCCTCTAATTTTTTTTTTCCATGCAGTGAATGAGATGCTTGTGTCCAGCCATCCAACAGATATTTTGGGTGTTTGTACAAAACCTATGTCCACTGCTAGAAGAAAGGAGGCATCCAAAATAAAGCTACAAAGTTAAAAGCAAGACTCTTTTGCTGAAGACCTACATCCTAATATTAATGTATATAAGTGGTCATGCTGCTATCACCTTTGCTAGAACATATGCTATGTATTTACTAATAGAAGTACTGCCTCCTACATGGAACATTAGGCAACTATGACACATATCTAGCTATCAACCCTCTATCCTGCCAGCTACATAATTGCAATGAAATAAGGTTTGCAGGCCACTGCTATATGAAATTTAGCATGCACTTCTGCCATCATGCTTGCTTCTTAAAATTTGGTGTGCATCTTCATTTATCTAGACACATAAATTTGATTGTTTCATGCCCACTTGTGTTTACTTTTAATCCATGATCTACAGTTCATCCGTGCTCAATACCAGAAGAAGATAAGGAAGCCAAAGTAAATGTTCCATCTTTATGTTTTAGTGCTATGTTCCCCCAAATTTGCACTGCTCATGATTTCATACTTTTACTATTGAAATTTGGTTCTGTTGATCAATATGATGTATTGTTGATATTCTGCAAAAATTCAATTTTCATTTTATATGTACATCATAGATAGAACAAGATATATGCCAGTGATTTAATGTACAAATATTTAGTTAAAAATTTCATAATGCATCTCAGTTAGCATTTTAAATTTTAATAGGATTGATCTTCTGTTGTTGAATGTTCTTTCTTTCTTCTCTGGCAAATCTGAAACAATTATTGCAATGCATCAACCTAATAAGTCTTTCGTACAACAAAATAGTATGCTGAAATTAGTGTATTATAGGATGGTCGAGCCTAGAAACTTGGAATCTTTATCCCCGCTTATAACGCTTTTTATTTTTCATACTACTTCATTTCATGATGTAAATTGGCCCTCATACCTTGCAGAACTATTGACTTATATACATCACAACAGAACACTTCTTTCCTCACTACACTAAAAAATTAATTACAATAGCAAATTCTCCCAATCATATAAGTCAAAACTAATCACAGACTGCCATTTTTAATGCCACGGGTGCCGCGCGCGAAGCGCACGTCCCACGCTAGTGGACTTCATTTAAGCAAGATGACAACTGCTCGTGGGCAGCAAAGTACCAGTGTTACCAGCCAAACCAAAATGTCACATGTTCTAAAAACAGAATTGAGTCAAAGTTAATAGTATTGAAAAATACACTACTACGTGATATTTTCCTGGATGCCACTCCCTTTTGTTTTCAAGCGGTTCGTAAGTGGAACCGCATAGAAAAATAAGGGGACCGACGCGGCGCTGTCGCCCACACGGGAAAATCGATTTTCCTATGCGGGCCTCCTAATCCGACATTATCCCATGCGGTCGATTTAAGTGGACCGCACATTTTTCCGTGCGGGCTATTTAAGTAGACCGCACAGGAAAATACCTCCATCATTTCCCTCCCATCCACTTCAAATTTTTATATCCTCTCTCTTACTTTTT